GGCTGTGAGTGTGTGAGTGAGTGACCATAAGCCGAACCTGGGAGCAGCGTGTGTAACAGTTAGCCCACACAAAATGACATTAGGCAGATATTTTCATGTTGTATTTTAAGCTGCTGTTCTTTGAAGATGGCTTGGAAGAACCTCTGATCACTGTTGTGTGATCATATTGCTGTTAGGTGTAGCTGGTCTAGTACATATTTGCATTCTGTTTCTACTTAACAGGTAACAGGATGGAAATTGGATAAGCTAAAAATGTATAAAGTATGAGCACACACACAGAGCCCATTTGGGACAGTGCTTAAAGTCACTTGACTAGAACCCTGGAGAATGTGAGTTCTAGTCACCTTAGGCATGGAAGCCAGCTCGGTGTCTTTGAGTCAACAACTCTCTCTTTCTGCCCTAGGAAGAAGCAAGGGCAAGCCACCTCTGAAAATGTTGCCAAGAAAACTGAACATACTTGTCCAGGGAAAACCTGTCAGGTTTTTAATTACTTGAAAATGTTTCATTTTGGAGTCCTTGGTGCTCTCTGAGCTTGGTTGTTTGCTTGCAAACATCACCAGCACTGATGATGTTACCTAGTCGGGTAATGAAACATCTGTAAGCAAACAACCAAGCTCAAAGAGCACCAAGGACTCCACAGTTCAACCCTGAGCTACATATATTCTCTTCTACTGTAAATATTAGGAATATAATAATAGAGTGGCTTCCAAAGCACCCACACAAACTTAACAAATATTTTTAGAGAATGCATATCCTTTAAAAGAGGACTGTGCAGGTGGTCATATGAGGACCTTTTTAAGCACCTGGGGAGAAATAGTGGCTTTAATTATTTTAAGGTTCATCAAAAATCTTCACATGCACTCATACACATTCCAAACCACTCTTTTAAAAGATTTGCATACCCTAATAAAAATTTTAAAATCTTACCCAGCTGAGAATAGCACACACACAACCAAACAAACTCTAATATAACTTCCTATTATTATGGACATACATAATGTGATTTCTCTATGTTTCCAATAATACATTCCCCTATATGCTATTTGCAATTATTGTTTTAAGAGAACAATTATGCTTTTAGGGAACAATGAGTCTCCTGGTCTTTGATCATTGTTACATTTTAACTAAGTACGTTTGGAATGATTTTTTATGTTTCTTTTGTTTATGTGGCATCTTCCTACTAAAAATATATTCATATACAAATAAAAAACCCAGCAATCTTCTGTAATAAGGATACTTCATGATAATGTAATTCAAGCTAGGATTTCTTAACACTTACTTGAATTTTACATTTCTTCAACTCTTTTAAACATAACATGGCAATATTTATACAATTTAGTCTCAAAGAAAGTCGTGCCAATTCCAGCAGCAAAGAAATTCTGCAAAAGTAAAAAACAGAATCAGAATAAACTAGCAAGTGACAATGAATTTTATGTAGTAAAGACTAATAGTGAAATCCTATTACCTTGCTTATTCAGAAGTAATTTCAACTGAGTTATGCACAGAAATACAAGAGAAGGATTGCAATTTTAGTATCCCAACTGGTTTATTGTAAGATAGAAGGACAGAAAACAGTAACATAAATAAGATCTGATAGACTTTTTAAAAGTTCCATTAGAAAGTTGGAATAATCATCTACCTGTCTATTTCCCTTGCTAAATGGCATCCCAAGCTGTCACAGCAACTAAGACAGGTGTAACAGAACTGAGGGAGAATGGATAGAAGGAATCATATCTTCTTCTTCTCCCACTATATTAATTTTAAATAAATAGATTGAGGTTTCAAGCTGGCAACTAAAATCATGGTATAAGCAATTGGGTTAGGCTTCACACCCCACACAGAGTATTAGCTGCACATAGACAGGAAGCCACAGGGAAATAAACCCTTGCT